TTAGAATAGATCTGCAAAAGGCGGGTTTTGGCCAACAAGCCAGTCCACTTGTTCTTAAATTTTCTTAACTCCACGTCCACCTAAGGTTCTTTTGTTATAATTCACCCGGCAATCTCCCCAATATTAAATGATTTTAATGGATGGTTTGCTCTTTATTTCTTTTAATGTATTAATTAAACTAAAAAATTTCAATAAATAAGAATCTATTTTGCTCATTTCGCCAGAAAATTGTCAAAAAATATTTTTTAGCCCACCAGCCCAATGTTTATTTGTTTTAGAAAAAACCCGTCCTTTGCATACATCTAGTCCTGACTTTTTAAGTAATTATATATAGCATTTTTTTGTTTTCATATACATTTGGGTTAAATCATTTAATCATTCGTGTGATATTGGAACACCGGTAACTCAAACAGGTATCAAATCAATTATATTTTAAAATTTATAACAATATTGTCCAATTATTTATAAACTATAAATCATATAAGTGTTTATATAACACTTGGGGCAAATTAAAAACAATGACAGATGCCTTTGCAATCAATGCAAACATTGAAACAATAGATTCCTCACAAGTCAGTGAAAAAATGTGGACAGACCTTTTATCCAGATTAATAGACACTGCCAAATCGACACTAGGCTTGACAAGGGGAGGTAACAAATCATACAAAGAACTATGGTGGTAGAATGAAGAGGTACAAACCACTATACAGGAGAAAAAAGCCCTTTATAAAATATGGTAGAAATCCAAAAACCCAGATGACAAGACTGATTACAAATAATCCAAGAGAACTACAAAGGTGGTGGCTAGGGCCAAATCTATGGCATACGATGACATACGAAGATCTACATACCAAAGAAGGGCAAAATAAAATATACAGATTAGAACAGAGAGAAAAGAACTCTAGAGATATAAACGGAGCTCCGAAAGTAATCAAAAATAAAGATGGGAAATTGATAATAAAGGGAAAAGAAATAATGAATAGATGGAAAGAATATATTCAGGAGCTTCTCAACTTTAATCCCCACATATTACATCTAGACGAACACTCCCCATGTCAAAACCTTGTACAACCTATAACAGAACAAGAAATAATCACATGCCTCAAGCATATGAAAAACAACAAAGCTAGGGGTCCAGACGATATTCCAATAGAAAGCCTTAAAGCACTAGGAGATGATGGAATACATCTCCTCACAAATCTTTACAATAAAATACTTGGAAATGAAGAGGTTCCCCAAAAATGGAGGCAGAGCTATCTAGTTCCTATCTTCAAAAATAAAGGGGATCCACACAATTGTCAAAATTACAGGGGCATAAAACTAATGTCACACTGTCTAAAACTATACGAAAAAATAATAGAAAAAAGATTAAGAGATATAATCGAAATAGGAGAGACAGTTTGGCTTTATAGATCAACAACCGATGCTATCCACGCAATTAGGCAAATGAGTGAAAAATACAGGGAAAAGAACAAAAAGCTACACGTGGTCTTTCTCGATCTAGAAAAGGCCTTCGATAGAATCCCAAGAAAACTTATCTGGTGGGAACTACGCCACAAAAAGGTTTCCGAAAATATATAAGAATAATACAGGATATGTATATGGGCCATACAACAATGGTCCGTAGCACAACAGGTACTTCAGCAGGCTTCACAATAGCCGAAGGAGTTCATCAAGGGTCGGCTCTCAGCCAACTTCTCTTCATTACAGTAATAGATGTATTGGCACAGTCTATACCTCAAACAGTCCCGTGGAATATGATATTTGCAGATGATATTGTGATACTTGCCGAATCTAAGGATGAAATGAAAAAAGATTAGTGAGTTGGATAAATATCCTAGAAACGCACGGATTAAAAGTAAATAGAGAAAAGACGGAGTATATGGTAATAGGAGGAGATGAAACAGAGAATATTGATATAAATGAATGGCAGATATCGGCAATTGAAAGCTCCAAATATTTGGGCTCCACTTTACAAACAAACGGCACAATAGAGATAAAGAGTAAGATTAATCAAGGGTGGTTAAAGTGGAGATCTTTACCACACAAATTAAAGGGAAAAATTTACAGTTCCATAGTACAACCAACTATTTTATATAGTTCGAAAACATGGCCAACCAAAGAATCAGACGAGAGAAGTCTAAAAACTAAGGAGATGAGAATGCTGAGGATGTTTGCGGGGGTAACAAGAAAGGATAAAGTGCGCAGTACAAGAATACTAAGTAGTTTAAAGGTAGTGCCCATTAAGGCTAAGTTAATGGTAAAAAGACTTAGGTGGTATGGGCACACAATGAGAAGGCCTATGAACTACATAGGAAATAAAGTTGAGAGTTTGGAAGTGATGGGCAAACGTAAAAGAGGAAGGCCAAAACTTCAATGGGGCCATAAAGTTAGAGCCAATATAAAGAAGAATAAATTAGATAAAAGAGATAGTAAGAATAACATAAAGTGGAGAGAGATTTTGAAGGAGTTTATCACAAAAAAGGTGAAAGCTAAAGAGAAAGAAAAATAAATAACACTATTTAGTCATTATTAGAAAATAAATATTAACAAGCAACACTATTTTTTTTGAGCCAACTAGTGATAAGAACTAAAGTAAGGGGGATGAGATGTCAATGGTTCTCAGACAACCATGAAGCTTTAATCACGTGGGAAAATCGTTTATAATGATAAAATCATTCACTGAAACAATTATAAACTGGAATACAAATGATCTATTTCCTCAATATCCCAAAATTCTCTCTTTCTTCAGAAACAACCGCAAATTTATCTAATCCAATGAAATATTTTTTGATCATAACCTTGAGTTATTTTTATTCATTAAAATATGGAAAAAGGTCAGAAAGGGGTGGCAAAATATGATAAAATTATATAGATATAAATTATGTTAAAAAAATGATAGGAAGGCATGGAAAAAATGTGGTAAGAATTTACATGAAATTTGTTTTAAAAATCTTATATCAAAATATATATAATTACTATTCGAATGAAATTTATTAAGTAAAAAAAAAAATAGTTCACGGGGTTGAGATAAAAGAACAACAATTTTCTAGAGAAATAAGAGATTTAATTCACTTTTCTTATTGACACAATATTCAAGAAAATTTTTTAAAAAATATTGCGAGAAAACCTGATAAAATTTTTAGCTTTCAGTATTTTTAATCTTGAGTAAAAAAAAGAAAAAATTAAGTGATCAAAAAATAACTGATTTTTCCCTGATCTCTCACACTCATGGTTGTTATGAATGTAGAGGGGGCATTTTGGATTCAGTCGTTTACCCTAATAAATTTTACCCCCTCTTACTTCAACATAAATTTTGAAAATTTAATTAAAAATAAATTAATTATAGCAAATATTTTGAAATAAAGGTCATATTCAATAAATAATAAGTAACGAAATGACTTTAAAACACGCGCTTATGATTTAAGAACACTTATATGGGTAAATTATTATTAGACATATTATTTTTCATTTAATAAATACATTCGCAATATATTATTACTTTGCGGTACAACTCTCCCGATAATAATAGCGAAAAACATTAGCGGTAAAAAATACGCTATAAACAGTTCGCGATATAGGTTTCGCTAAAATATATTCGCTTCAAAATGTTCGCGGTTCAGGTATGGCAAAATAAATTGGCGATTATATAATTTTGCCCGTAGCTTACAGTTAAACGTTTTTATGAGAAAATATTGATTTCATATGTATGGCATTGGTTCAAAGATAGATGCTAAATAAAATTAATCTAAATATCGCATCGGTATCTGATAGATATTGTATAAATATTGGTGAAAAATTTGTGGATCGGCACAGGCCTGATTCAAATCAAGTTTTAAAATAATTGAAGGTCGAACAAAAGCTGTGCAATAACGTAATGTTTGATAGATTCGTATGTTTTAAATTATATATTCAAAACTAGCAACCAGCAAGGACGTTGGCGATTAATTTTGTCAAAAAAAAATCGATGACGCAAATGGCATCAAAAATACATTTTATAAATAAATTTTGTACGTGTGATATGATGACAATTTATTTTAACAAAAGGAAGTTAATACTATTCACCGCAGCCCGGAAATTTTTTTTGGAGCGAAAATGGGAAAAACAATATTTAGGAGATAACAATAGATTATATTTTTTTTAAAAAAATATTATATTCCAATCAATATTATTGAATATAACTAGATCATTGAAGCAGCTGTACACTTTGGAGGATTAAAAAAATTATATTAAAATAAAATAATATTTCATTTCAATAAATATATATATTTTATTTAATATAAAAAAAATTAGTCCCAAAATTTTAGGGTATAAATTTGCGGTGAAAAAAAAATATATACAATTCATTCGCAATCGAATTCAAGGAAGAAATTTAGCGAGACTAATGTATCTTCCCGATCAAATTTTTTTTCTTTCTGAATTTGAAAATAAGTTTATTAAAATCAATTTTCAAAAAATTTAAGTTCAAAATGCGATGAATTTTTTTGTTTATTTGAATAGAGTGCTAGTAGATTAATAATGCCAATTGTTAAAACTTCATTTTATATTCGAATTTATTTATGAATTTGACATGCATAGAACAGGACCAGATTTTACGATGACAAGAAAACAATTTTAATCTAATGAAAATCTAGATTATGAATACTTTTAGCATAAAAAAAGAATAACGACGCTGATGATATAATAAATATTTTAAGTCAGCCAAAAAAATAATGTATTTTAATAGATTCATATTTGTCTTTTAACAGTTGTTAAGATTAGACATGTGTCCAGAATACGGTGAATAAAAAAATGGATGATTATCTTTAAATGTAGTGATTGATTGGAAATGTTAGAATTCAGCATAATATTTTTTAGATTATTGATAATACGTGGTTATTATGACATGTTTTAAATATTTTTATTTTAGGCTAAATAAAATCCAGAATATTTTTTTGTGGTTTAATTTACCAACTCCCTTTAAATTTTTTTAAATGAATTTTAAAAAAATTCAATTTAACCTTTTGATCTTTAACGCGCTTGAGAAAGTTGAAAGCCTTTCCAGGTTGCGGAAATGTGGGTGACAAATATTTGCCGGACATGGCGTTCCCTATTTTAAAGGGTGAAGAGATGTGCCGAGTGGGAAAGGCCAAGTGATCATAAGGAGAAAAGAATAAATTTTTGGAATGATACAAATTGCTACCGACGGTAGGATACGTATTCGTTTGGCCCGGGTTGATCGGGCTATGCATACCTTGGTAAATGTAATCTCCAAAGGGGAAAAAGGGCAAAGCAGTGGAATACAATAGGCTCATGTTGGAATCGAGTTTGGAGTGATGCTTATTACTCCTGTGGTGTTTGAGACCAGTGTTAGCTGGAATTTTGGCTTGGTGTAAAGTGGTCGGGGTAGATTGAACATTATCTAGAGAAATTGGCAGTGTTGGTTGAAGAGAAGGTGAATTAACTTGTTTAATACTGGGGGGAGTTGAAGGAGGAGTTGGAGATAGGATAGATTCGATAGTTTTCGGGGACGTTTCTAGGGCCTTTATAGCGTCATGAGTTAAAGAATCCATAGGAGGTGGCTGGTCCATATCTGGGTACATGCGAACGACTTCCAAATCCAGACCTAACGAGTCGGCGAATCTGATAAAATGTATAAAATAAATTATACTATAATATTGCAGTTAGTGCAAGTGTAACAAAAATAATGATGATTATTTTATCGTTAACATGTTAATTCTATACGTAAGAGAATCTCTTGTGAATTCGTTTTAAATGGATATTTTCTAAAAACTCTAAAATAATAAAGTAATCAGACCACGTCCTCGTTTGTCTTACCTTTTAATTTTTATGTAGCAGAGGCTAAACAGATTTTGAACTAATTTTTGTTTTGTTTTAAAGTGTGTACATTAAATAAATATTAACTTTAATTTATATATTTTTTCGGTTCAAATAAATATTATATTTTCATTTAGATGTATTAATTTGGAAAGATAAAGCAAACCAGGACACGAGCTTTTTTAAAATAAGTCTTAATTTTATACCTGACAACCTTTTTTCCGCTCTTTGGCTTCACCTGCAGATTAGATTTAAGACTCAAGGTACGTCTTATTTCGAATTCCGGCCCGTTCGGCTCCTGGTCATCAAAATCGGCTTCGAAGTAGTTTTTGTTCATTTCATTGTTTTGGGGAGAGACCGACATGGTGTCCGAGTCTTTGGTTGGTTGTGATGTAGAGTCGGGACTAGATTGGATGATGTTCGTGGTGGGAAAATAGTCTAATTGACTAGAATCGTTAGTGGGGATGTGCGCTTTGGGGTGGAAAGTTTTTTTAATAAAGTATTTGCGTAGCTCGGGTGAAACAGGAGAGGATGTTTGATCCGACTCGCTGGCAGTTTCCGGTACGATAGTCTCGAAACGGGCCAATGAGCGCTTAGGAGGACGGGGTAGTGTGGGGGTAGCAATAGTGTTAGAACTCACTGTTTGATCTTGTATTAGAGATCGATCTTTATTTGAATCCAGTGCGGGTATATTATCGGCAGAGTTGTTTGCGACAACGTTTGAGGAATTTCTATCTCCCGAATCATTATTACCCTTAACATCGTGATCAACAAGATTTGTACTGGTGCTGAGAGAAGAGGATTCATACATATTTGGCGAATCTATTTTCTCAGTATCTTTCGAGGAGATATCCGCGACGGAAAAATAAGGATTATTCGTGATGGGAGAAGGAAGAGAAGGGGAAGACTGAGCAGAGTGGAAGGGTGTCTGAGAAGCTGAGGAGGAATTGCTTGAAGATTCTATGTTTATTATGGTAAATGTTTATTCTATATATTATAGTAAAGCTGTGTAAATTTACTGGGAAAATCATTCCTTTTTAGTGCAGTATATATTAGTTGGTGCAAGAGGTTAATATTAGTTCAGTGTTTAAAATTGTTGGGCATAATTTTTTTTTTAAAAAAGAAGAATTTTATTATCACTTAAATTTTTAAATATTTCCTTTTTGAATATTTTAAGAGAACATGCAAATTTTTTTATTCGGCTCGGATTGGTTAAAATTTAGCTAAAAAGGAAACTGATAAGGATTGGTCACAAAAAACATCACAAAGGTAAGAGGATATATTATTGTGACCTTGACCTTATACGATGATATATTAATTATTCAAGGTCGGAATGGGTATGCCAGTCTTTTACACGAATCATTAAGCTAGGGTGTAAAATACTTTCTGATTGGCCGCCTGAAGAAATTTTACACGCTAAATATTACTGAACCCGAATAACTAACGCATAATCTTCTTTTTTCTTTTATTTTTTTTAATTATATAAAAGGCAATATTATTATTTATTTCTTAAAAACCAATAAATAAAAAACTTTATTTAAAAATTTTTTTTTTAATAATTACACAAACACAATAAACTTAAATCGATAATTCTGATTATCGATATAAAAATGTAACTATATAATTTATTTAAATATCTATATAAAAAAATATATACTAATAACGTTTTATAGTAAGGATAGGAAATGAACGCAAAAAAAATGATTCGGAAGAATAAAATATAAAATTTATGACGCAGAATAAAATTGCTCGAGGTTTTCCCGCTGAACGATTTGCCAATTTGGCTTAATACACTTCAATTTTTTTTTAAGTTCAAAGATTGCGTAAAAAAAAAATTGGGTAAATTGATTAGTTGATGTTGAATTTTCGTATAAAACGGAAAATTTTACGAAATATTATTTTAATTTTGAATTGGCTATTTTGCTTAGTAATTTATATAACAATTTAAATTTTGTTCGAGTAATTATGGATATAATAGTAACAGGAAAGATAACATTTATGTAACGATATTTTAAATTCTACTCCGATTATAATGGCCGTTACCAAAAATAATAATTAACCACTCATAAATGAAGGGGAAAAAATTTGGGTCTTTTTACTTTATAATTTTTTTTGTGTAATTAAGTTTATTTTAAAAAATATAATAAATTACGACTACACCGTTGACATATTTGTATTTGCCGTAGTAAAGCCCAAAAATAATTAGTTAATCCAAAAAAATGTATTTCATTTTTCAGGCTTTAAATCTTCTCTTTTCAGTTAATAAATAAAATTGGTTATATATTTGAAAAAGACGATCCAAGTTTCAGCTTTAAGCCGAACGTTTCCGATTTTAGCATAGCAGCTATAAAATTTAAAATAATTATTCGTTATGGCATATAAGGTGCTTATTCACGGCGATTTTTTTTAAAATCAATTTTTATTTCTTCTAAAACTCGCCGAAAGCAGTAGAATCCATGAATTAATTAAGAAAAAATATAAATGATTTTCTCAATAAATAAATTAATTAAAATTTAATTAATTTTATTATTATAGGTAAAGAAGAAGAAAATTATCATTAAAGACCAAAGTATTAGGATAGATGCTCATCTTTCCATCATGGCCGTCACTATATCTCTTTAACCCTTTTATGTGGGACTATGTAGATAGCAGCCATTTAAAAACGTTATTACTCATATATTCTTTCTATATTTCTGCTTGGAACTTTTAGTAGCTTAATATTCTTAGGTAAAGTAATCAAAATTAATTTTGATTTTTTCGGTGGTTAATGAGTTATAATGGTTTTTTGGAGCTCGGAGTCTGCATAAACTCCACCTGGTCATAACATAAATTAACACTTTTTTATCATTTTTATTAATTAAAAATTATATTAGAACTTTAGATAAACATTCTACCTCATCAATTATTATATTTTTTTTAATATTTCATATTATAACATTTTAAAATAATTTGTCACCTTTTTGACTTTCTTGGCAAAAGCTGTCCTAAAATTTAAAATAACAATAAAATCTTAAAGTAAAGGTTAAGGTCTAAATAAATAATTCTACGATATAGCGTATCTAAATTGGGGAACGAGGGAACCCTACCTAGACTTTCATATTATTATTTTTTTCACTGCTATGAATGGTTAAACGAGTAAAAAGACAGCGGTAGATATGCTGGGTGAGTTGTTAGATTTTTTTTATATATAAAAAGACCAGAAGCAGATTTTTAGTCCTGGCTCATATTTGAAAAATCTTTCCATTTTCCAACTAGGCCCCTTTTTTAAAAAAATCAGCCCTTGTTCTTTTTATTCCTATGGTGGGTACTATAGATTTTTTTTTAAAAAATTTATAGCCCAGCCCCTACTTATTCCTTCATTTTAAATATTTTGGGCAAATAGATTTTAAATATCTATCTCGTTCAGCTCCGGAAAGTTTTTGATAGAAATATTTATTTTTAAAAAATAAAATTATTATTTTCCGATTTGTAATTTATCATTATTTATATATATATATTTTTTTAAAAAAACACTCAATATTTGATTTCTCGCAATATTTCAAAAATCAATTATTACAAATCAAATCAATTACTTCAAAATTAGCCAAAATGATAATAAATAAATCACAACGATAGAGAATTTTTTTTTTCAAAAGTAAAAATTAAAATACTAGCACTCAACTCTGCTATGCATGTATTTATAAAATTATAAGGTATAAACAAGAAAATTGTAAATTGACCTTCAAAAGATAAAAGTGCAATCACAAAACAAAAGATTATTACCGGTTGAATGCAGGGTTAGGAAGCAACAAAAAAATTATTCAATGCGATTCATATTATGCTCAAAATATGGGAAAGAGGGGGGGGCGTATTTAGAATGAGATATTTGAAGTATTGTTGTTAAAAAGCCCGATTAATATTTTAGCTAAAATAATGGCAAATAGTCCTGCATTTCTGTCAGCTATGAGCAAAATCTTTAGGCTTACATAATATTATTAGGTTATAATGTTAATCGGGACGTTTTTTTAAATCGACCCGAATAGGGCTTTTTAACAACACTAATTTGAAGCAGATATCCCAAATTAAGAGATAATCTTTCGACCCAGGTTCATCCCTCCCCTCCCCCATTTTATATCCTTTACCGATTCTTCGTGTTTATGATTTAAAGATTAAAATTTTAGCCTTGTAACAACATTTAAAGGGTATATTAGATGTCCAAAAGAAATAGAAAAGTCAGCAAATTACTTAAAAAATTCATGTTATTTTATAAAGTTGTTGTCAAAAAATTATTCGCGATAACATTCAAAACTTTATCGAAAAACGAATTAAGCCTTATTTTAATAGAAAATATGGACATAAAAAATATCTTTGAATTTAAATATGCATTGGTAAAATAGATATTCTATGTGGATTAACAAAATCTAGTTTGACGTTAGTAAAATAGATTTATAAATGTCCTTCTGCGGATGACAATCATCCCCTTCTATTTCTAAAAAAAAAGTTCAAAATCTTTAAAATTAACATCTTAGAACTCAATCTATATTTTGCTTAAGATATTTAGGTTGATGAAAAATATGGGCATCAGAGTTTTAATAATTTCTTTTTTATTAGCGATTTAAAATCACGAAGAGAATACTGCCAAAAATATTTATACACTATATATTTTTTGTATCAAATCCTGATTAGAATATGAATATTAGAAATATATTTCACTTATTTTCCTCAGTACAAATTAAATTCAGAGAATTCCGATTATTATTTTTAATTTTAAATATTCTCGAAATTTGCAATGAGTGATGTTATAAAAAAATCATTCATTGTCATGGCAAAGATTAATATTCCTTTATACACAATCATTTTAGAGGTACTCCTCCTCCTCGATTAGCAATAGGGTAGATAGATGATATCTTATTAGAGCTAAACAAATTGTCTCTCCAATAATTGCAATATAAAAAATAATATAATATAACAAAGCTTAATATACAAACTTTTCCCTCCAGACCCGCTTGTTTCAATTGGAATTTTTAGAAACCTTCATAATAATATTTAAATATTAAACAAGTAAATATATATTTATAATGACGCTCGAATCAAAGATTAATCATCTGTTAGAAAATATTACCATTTAAAAATATCAAAAACTTGGTAAGATTAAATATCAGATCAACTTATAACATCTCTGTAAAGCATAATACAGTCCTATATGAAGATGAGGTTAAAATGAATAAAATTTTGACTTTACCCTAGTTAATAAATTTTTAAAAATAACAAATATAATTCATGATTTTTAGATAAGTGAAACCACAAATTTATATTTTATTTTAAAAAAATCTAATATAGCCAAAGGTCTACAATAAGTGGACCTAAAAACCTACAATGAATTTTATGCAGGAAAAGCTACCTAATAGCGCTTATCAAAATTCTAGATGCATCTATGTCGGGTATATTCTTTAGATAAAAAAAAGAAAATTGTACGAAAAACTTGAATGTGCCATATTATGAGAAACAAGAATCTATAGAGGATTTATATTAAACGAGTATGACACGATTTACAGGAGCTCAGTAATAGGATGGAAATGTTTCAAACTGAAAATTAAAAAAAATTCCACAGGTGTGTGATCCTGCAATATACTGCCTAGCGCAAAATAGGTTTATAGGCTCATAAATTTGATAAAGGTTGATAAATAGTGAAAATTTAAAAAAAAACATCTTTAACACAGATTTCTATTCCTGGTTAAAAGTCTAGAAGATCAGAGCGTACAATTTGGTGAGGTTCACCTTAGATGTTTAAAATAAGTTAGATATGAATAAATAAGCATTATATAGACTTAAGAATCCTTAAACTGAAAGCTTATCAAGATTGATCTCAGTAAAAGCCTGTTAACCTAAATATTTCTAATTTAATATGGATGTCAAGGGCCCTTTACATATATATAAAATTAAAAATATCAAAGAGAATAATGAAATGGCTATTGCTAATAATTGAGTAGGTGAATATCTTAAAAAATAAAGAATCTGGTTTGAAATATTATTTTATAATGTGTAAATCTAATAATATTTATTCTATATAATCATTGGCTATAGGCATAGTGAGGGGATAGAAAGAGGGAAGATGGAGGTGTTAAGGTGTACCTTCTCTGGAAATTTGCCTGTTTCTGTAAATAATATTCTATGCTATAAAAAAATCCCTACACCCCCCCCCCCCTCTTCAAAAAATGTATAAAATATGTTATCATAATCAATAATTTATAAAAAAGTTAACAACTTTTTTAAAAAGGCCAAAAAGTGATTGATGAGGTCAAGATAATATGTAGTTCACAAAAAAAATTAATATCAACATACTTTCCAATAAATTGCTCTTAATAAATCAACAATAAAAGTGGAAATGATATGTACTAACTAAACCAACAACAGAAATACCATATATATGTTAAAGTTTCACTGAGCTGATATAAAAATTCCAAATAAATAACAAAATTCATTCTCTTAAAATTTTTCGAAAATATTAGCAAACACATGTATTTTGAGTTTGACAAGTGACAACTATAATAAAATAAAATTTCAGAGACATCATTAAAAAAAATTAAACATCAAAATCACCCAATTTTTATAATTTTGTAACCAAATATATTTTCAAAGGATAATTAAAATTTTAGGGACACCAAAATATAAATAAATATATTTTAGAATAATATAAATATGGACAAGAATTCATAAAATTGAATTATCTAATTTGCATCTAACAGTAAATTTGGAAGTAATTTAAAAAATAAAGATAGGAAGGAAAAACACCAAAATTATTGTAAGAATCCACAGGAAAAAAATGGAATATTGATTTTTTCAAATAAATATAAAAGTATCCTTATTATCAAGAAAATAAAAAGGTTACAACATTCTTAATAAAGCATATATTCAATACTGATAAATAACTTATTATAAATATCAAAAAAATATATAATGTACAAGATATAAAAAGATTATCTTGATTATTATATTCATGGTACTGTACAGATCATCAGTAGTATAACAATAGCAGAGATTACTTCAGAATAAAGTTTGGGTTATATAAGTATTTACCTTAAAAAATAGAGGCTTATGAAATTAATGGCCAAAGGCTACAAATTTTTTTTATTAGGGGTCTGATTAGTTTTTAAGGGGGTTTGGTCGTATCATCTTTTTGCCATTGATAGTCAGACAAAAATACAGCAATATAGTATTGTCAGTATAGGTAAATACTTTCAATTTTAACCAATATCCAAAAATCATAAATAGCAATAATAAACAAAAAAAATTTGTCAAGTCAAATGAAAAAATTCCTAAATAAGGAAAGATGTTACTATTTTTTTTATATATATTCCTTTATTAATTTAAATACTAAATTAAATCTATTTTTTCCAAAAATCTACATTGAAGATTTATATCTCTTAAAATAATATATAAGGTAAATATTCATAGACAAACAATTCTAAATCATATATCTAATAAAATAAATTTTACCCATATTGATATTTGAATTAGATGGAGGTTTCTTTATATTTTCATTTTTTTCATTCATTACAAGATATGAGAGAGTTAATTTTAATGGCTGAGCTTTAATTATTTTATTTTGAATATTGCTAGAGTTAATGTCATTTCGATTTAGGTTGCAATTTTTTAATTTGCCACATAAATACAAATTTTTGAGATAATATAACCAAGCATGGTCCTTAAACATCTTAATTCAAAATCATTTCGACATTGAAATTATTCAAATTATTTTTTAAGGAATAAATTCGAGAAATGTATGATAATCACTTAGATAGTTTTTTTTAAAAAAAATGAAATTATACGATATATTTTTGAAAAAAATTGAGTGAATTATAAATATAAGAAAATTATTAAATAGATTCATATATCTTAGATTAATCCTAGCTAATGGTAAAAGGAAGGAAGGGCCATATATTTAGAAATAGATAAGATTGTATTTATCACAGGGAACATTCTTCGCCCTACTCATTTCTGCTTTGGGGGTTATCTAGCTCTAATTTTTACATTATCATAGTTTCCTTTACCAAGTCCCTCTATATTTTAATAAACATCCCCCTACCCTCTTTTCCGATTTACATTAGCCATCAACCTCAACACTTGAGCACTTTTTTTACTATATATATTTATTTTCTAACCCTCTCTACAGGTAATCGTTTCTAGAGAAAGGTATTACTAAAGCGTTATCAATATTCAACCTTTTATATAAGCTTCTGATCAACCAATATTGTGAAAATATTTTAATTTAATAGAAGCATCTTTAAATTAACTATTTAAAAATAATTGATTCTACTGAAATAGTATATAAAATTTATGGCAATATAATTTTTTACAATAAAAAATAAATAGGTCTATTTATAGCAGCGTTGATTTGTATTGAAAAATAATATTATCATCAACATGTAAGATAACGGATAATTATCACTGTTACTTACCGATACTTTTCTTTCCTATTGTATTTTTAATGCAATTTACTATTATTTTGAGGACCTAAATACTATTAACATTAGTATTTTAGGGAGTTATAAGTACAATTTTGCAATGAGCTAAAAATTTATTTTTTATTTTTATTTCAACTTTATTATGATCACATTTTGAACCTGATTATCGACTTATACCAACGAATGCGCCCCTCGGTGGGAAGGGAGGGGGGGGGGGGGCTTAAGCCTCCTACTAAGATAAATATTTTGTTATAAAAAATTTTTCCCAAATTTAAATAAAAACACCCTATATATTATATTTTTTAATTCAAAATATGAGTGAATATTATAAATAACTATGTAATTTACAAACATTTATTTATCTAAATTTACTAAATAATAGAATAATCAGTGCCACAGTCATAAAATTCGTTGCGAAGACCTTCTATTACTTTAAAAAAATAGGAAAGGGGCACATGGGTAAGAATAGATAAATTTTTGTTTTTGTAAGAATTTTAGGCGAAATTATTTATTTATTTTATTTAATAGTAAATATTGAGGCAATTTTTTTTAGTTGCATTATATTATATAAATAGATGAATATTTTACAAAAATATAATTATATTTCAAATATATATTGCCAGTTGTATATTATAATGTAATTTATACAAATAATGTAATTAAAAATTAAATAAAAAGATTACTATAATATCTGCCACAGCGAATCTTTATCTTACCGTTTCTTTGATTGGGTATCTTTTGTGACTTGTCCGCTACTTTTTAATATGTGGAGATGAGTTCTACCTACATACAGGCACGCTAATTTCATTAGTAAACTGGAAATATGTTTTATCGACTTGCAAGCAAATTCATCATGATAGCATTCATAATGATCGAATTATAATTATTGGAATTATTAATCAATTACTTATTTTGTATATAGTCCACTAAGGTAATAACCCAGATATATTCTTAAACGATTGTTGAATATGAATCGTTCACTCTATTTATTTTTCTGCTTTAGATAAATTGATTGTTGTCTAAAGCTTTAAGATAGATTTTATTATTCAAATACATTATATTTCAAGAAGAGATATGATAACAATTTATAGCTTTCTAAACTGGTGGACAACCAAATTTCTGAGCTGTTCGATTCAGTTGATTTAGAAATGCGCATAAAGGGCCTCATAATTATTCCAAACTGCCTTAATAATGTGAAGACTGCTAAATAAACATTGTATATCAGGTGCCCTTCCAATCTTCAGCAAATAAATGTCAAGTTCGTATTTTATCCATAGCCTTTTAATTTTTGTTATATAACTATATATCATGTTTCGTGTCAATAAATGCTTTAAAGTGATTAACGCTAGTAACACTTTTTTTAAAATTAATATCATGGTTTAATCGTTAGATATAGTGCCAAAGGCGCATTTCTATAACCAACATCTTCCCAGTCATGATACTGATGTCATCATTAACGAAAGAAATACAATTTATTTAAAAAATATTATATCCGGAGGATTTAAGAAGATTCGGCAGGGTATAAACAATCACTTCTGCATCTTTTGATTCTAGTTCAATCAGGTCTAGAAATATAAAAGTGGATTCACCACAAGAGGACACTAATACATTTTATGTAGATCAGTACCTGTTTATTTGACGTCATAGTAGATCCATTTGCCAGGATAGTAATTTTTTATTGTAAATGATAATATACAATTTTTGTCTATATTTCCTTACGAATGCTTTCTATTTACTCTGTATAAAACTAATTTGTAATTCTCTTTATTTAAACATGTGTACTGCTAGTCAAAACTGATATAACGTGGCATTCCCCTATTTCTATTGGATTCTCTGTTTTTAAGAACCAATTAAAATAAGAGAGTTATTGTGATTAATGATTTTTATAAAATATTTTAAGTTTAATTCAAGATAAAAAATATTAATATGCTAAAATACCTGTCCTATCTTCATGATAATTAGATGTAACCATAGTTTATAGATATATATTTTTATATTATAACACGTCAATCATATAATCACGTGGTGTTTTTTTTAATATATAGTTTATATAACATAGAAAGAGGGGAGATATTATTATGAAATTTTTGGTAAATTTATTTTCAAAAATGATTATTGTATGTTTTTATTAAATAAAAAGAAGTTCTCGTCTTATAATTTTATCTATTTTCGATATAGCTTTAGAACGTCTTTGAGGTACGCAATTTCGGGTAGTATTTAAATTGAGTAAATAAAATTAAGGGTGAAAGAAAGGGGTTTTTACAGTGGTGTCGTGACGCTGATCGCTGCCTAGGAGTTATTCGGTTTAGAAGGTAAAAAAAATTTTTTAATTATATAATTTTCTTAAATTTTTTTGACTGCGCATTTGTACTAACCATTATACGATTTTGCTAGTGAGGTTTTTATTTAAGGTGCTGTATTAATATTTTCTACAAATATTTAAAGTTTTTGTAATTGAGTATTAGTATTGATTAAAAGATTCATGACCAAATGGTTCATTTTTTTAGGTATCATGATGATTATAGTGTGGCTGCTAAGATTTCATTATATAAGAATTTGGGTCTTAAAGTTTTGTATAAAAATTTTGATGAATTGGATTTAATTAAGCAGGGAATGATAATTGGGATATTGGTAATAATTTATATATTGGTGATTAAGGCGAAATATTTGATAAAACTGCGGTACTGGCAGGCATGTATTGCAGTTGGAAGAAGGACACTGCGGTGTCAGATGTTTATAAAAAATGGCGGAAACGTATTTTAATTTAATATCGGATATTTATGGGAAGAAAATAGCAGACTTGGAAAGTAATCTAAAAGATGTTTTAGAGGAAATCAAGGCTGGAAATGTTGGGGAGAGGTCAGTTAGGATCCTCCTGGAATAAAAGAAATGAAAGAAGCCATCAATGCGTTGATAAGGGAAAGCAAAAATCCGGTTAAGAGCCAGGTGGGTGATAGAAATATTAATAAGAAATTTAATGATTACGAGGAAAATAAGGAATTGTCTGGAAATAAAAGATTTGGGGAAATGATCATTTGCAATCGGTGTGGTTGGAGGGGACACAGGAGAGATACTTGCGTGGTTCCAGAACATAGATTTAAACAGGGATTTCCATTGAAAGGATCTGAGGGTTGAAATGCCAGTGTAAAAGTTGTTCGGGTGAATGAATTTCGAATATGTTTTAAATGTTGTAGGCCGGGTCATGTGGCCATGCGATCAATGAAATGTCTCAAAATTCGCGGTGACTATATGATGGCAGAGTTAATCATATAGGGGTCGGGAGACCGAGGTATCGAGAAAATTGTTATAAGTACAAATATGATAACGGAAAACTTGATAATGATAATGATAAAATGAAAGGTCCCTTAATTCTCACAAAATAAATATTAATGGGTTCAAATGGGAACAATATCCTGTGAATATTGTCCGATATTTGAATAGAAGGGATGTCAGAAGTTTTCGGTGGGAAAAATGTCCCAAAAATCTTGTGAAAGGAAATATGGTTGTCAATAAAAAATCTCTAAATTCCGAGTTGAATTTGGGAGATAATATTAATTCTAATGAAATGGTTATTTCAAGTGGAATGAGCATTGATCCTCCTACTAAAGTGTATGATATTTTAGTTATGGAGATCTTAAATGGACAATGTTTGTGTCCGAAGGTTAATTTGAAGATTGGCAACAAGAATATAGATATGTTATTTGATACGGGGGCTAGCATTTCGATTATGTCTAGCGAAAACTTTTATAAGTATTGGCCTGGAAAAACACTTGAGAGGGAGTCCATGTGTGTCAGACAATTTGATGGGTCTGAAATTGTGGTTTTAGGAAAAAGTAAATTGGGGGTGCATCTTAACGATACTATATTTTTTCTTGATTTATGGGTAGTAAAGGAAAATGTTGAAACTATTATGGGTTGAAATTGGATTACCAAGCTTGGTCCTCCTAATAACTATTGGAATATTTTTTATATTAGTGGTAGTGTAATAACTGATGTTGAAGAGAATGGAAATTTGGATAATACCGGTAATAAAATTTGTGAAATTTCGGAGGAGATGATGGAGAAATCGAGTAGGTCGGATTTTAATGATGTGATAAATGAGAAGCAAATTATGGTAGGGGAAAAAGAGGATTGGAGTAAAGTTAATCAAGCTATTCCAGTTCTAGTGAGGCAGTATGGCATCATTTTGATGAAAAATTAGGTTGTTTGAATGATTATCAAGTTGATGTTCAACTTAAGGAGGGTTTTTCACCGATCTTTTTGGCT